TGAATTCGTCTAATTTGAAACGCGCCACATTAGTATTAACCAATCCGCTTTCAGTCCATATTCTCAGACTGACCAATCAATATTCTGTTCTGCAAACCACGTTTTGCTATTCATGGTTTAGACATGCCTACGACTGGCCAAGATCCGATATCTGGATCAATGCTATCCGCAGTTTAAACACTGTCGTTTAATTTTTTCCCAGTTTCAATAGGTTGAAATCTCACTTGGTGCCGTTGTACTAAAATCGCCAACCTCCTCAACGCCTCAAGGTAGCATTGATAAGATATATACTACTGATTCGAATTTACTAGTAGTATGTATTTCACGCAGACGCCTGTTTCTTGTACTCAGTGAACTTTCGTAATCCAAGTGTAACCAGTCGATCGATTATATGATGGCACATCACGGTTTGTGAGTTAATGGGGTCAGGCAATGCCCTGTTGGCATATCACTCCAGCTCATTACACCAATCACAATCGACTAAAACCGACTTCGTTAGGCTTAATTCGTTTAATCCAGTTTTAGCGATCACCTCCTTCTGGGTGGCAGTTCGCCCTTCGTGTGTGTGTGTGTGTGTGCATAAACTCAAGACGTCGTCAGTGGTTCATCAAACGACGATGGGATCGCTAACCGCGCTGACAGCGGAGCTGCCGGTGACATACGATGGACCGTTTCAGACGCATCTGGAAGCTATTCGACTGCACAAGCGCAAGAAGACCTCGCACTACAGGCAGGTGATGGAACGGGTCATGTACCAGACCAAGATCACGCCTGAGTGGCCGGTGACAGTGAAGATTTTCGAAGATCGGATGGAATTTTTCCCTCTGTATGGCAGAAAGGTGCCGTTGAAGGTCTTGTACTTCTCCGACGTGATGCACATTCTCCCCTCGAAGGACTCGCATCGCGTCCTGGTTCTGGCTATCCCAGGAGACGAGGTGCACAAGATTTGGATTGTTGGGATGCGGTTCCACACGGAGGATCCAATGCACGTGCTGGCGGAGCGTTCACAGAGGCGGCGTCTGCTCCTGACAACGTACGGTCCCTCGGACGCGCGGCAGTCTCCGAGACCGGAAGAAGTTGGTGATCGTGGGACGAGACTCCAGTCCGCACCACCGGTCGCAGGGTCTTCGTCGACGTCCATCGCGACCCCAAGCCTACCCACCGAGTCCCCTCAAGGAATATCGGAGCATTATGTTGACATCGAGCACGCGCCGCCTCCAACACAACCACCGCCTCGTGGTCGAAAGAAACAAAACGTCAGCAAGCCAAGACGTCCGCGTCATTCCGAAGACATGGCGAAAAAAACCATCATTCCTAGCCCGGAGGGACCTCGTAGAGTTGCGACGACACCCGTGTTCGCACGCAGTCCTAGTCCGCAACTAAGGAGGCCTCGAAATAGTGAGACCGTCATTATCTATCCACACACCGACGAACCTCAACGATATGCGCGTTCACCTATTGATATGTTGCCATGTAATGCCATGACTACCTACGTGCACCATCCTGGTGGACAGCCAAGACAGTCCAGGAGCAGACAGACCAATCGCGAGACCGTAACCATCTATCCAACAGCTGATGAACCCCTGTCGTTCGCGTCTCCACCGGATGAAGAGTTGCCAGCAAATGATATGACAAGCTTTACACACCATCGCGGTGAACAACCAAGAGAGAGTCGAGGCAGCGAGAGAGGTTTTAGCTATTACAGCACAGAAATTCCTGCAAAATCTCCCGCAAGGATGAAGGGGTCTTTGTCGAGAAGACTTCGAGTGACGCCACTGGAAGATGTGCTGCTGGGTGATGACCCTCAGGAAGTGAATGGAAGAAGCAGGAGCAGAAGGGGTTCGACGGAGCACGACATAGACTTCGTGATTTTGTGCGAGAGTGATACGGACGATGGCAGCACTGGGTCGGAACGGGACCTGGAAGGTGTGGAGAGAACCTGGAAGGTGGAGGACGACGACGACGAATTGGCTCGGCAGTCGCCGGACCTGTGCCACGTGACCCTTCACAGCAGCTTCAGGAGTCTGCTGAAAGAGAGCGAGTTCAGGGACACGCGGGAGCGTGCTAGAAGCCAGCACAGTCGAAAATCCGCGCGCAAAGTCGCAGTGTCGCCGCCGTGGTTTGGACGAAGTCTCACACGCATCGATGGGCTCCTCGACGTCACGATCCACCAGTCACCGTCACGCGCCCAAAGCCATCCATGTTATGACAGTCCGTCGCCAACTTCCACGAACACAGCCTCGAAGCGTGGACCTATCCATGGCTTCCTCTTGTCAAAGGAGGAGCTAGATGACGATCTTGAGACGACTGTTTCGCCACAAATCAAGGCAGATGACTTACGTCGATCGCGAAGACATCGAAGCTCAACACGAAGTCTGAAGCAGGACCCAACTGACAAGGAAGGTGAGCTAGCACTGCTCAGTGGGGAACAGACTGCGCCGTGCGCGGAAACTGCTAACACCGGTACACGATGTTCGTGTATTAGAGTTTATCGCGAGACCAAATCGAGTTGTTGCTGCTGCTGCTGTTGTTGCTGCTGCTGCTGTTGCCAATGCCAAACGCCCTGCAAAAACGACCACCCTGATCGCTGTAAAAGACAATAAAGCCCGAAAGCTTGGCGTGGATTGACTGGAAATAACGCGGTGTGAATATTCGCAGACCACCAATTGCGTGAATTACCTAACCTGGCTTTTTTCTATTTAGCTAACATTGCTTACTCGCCTGTTCTTTATTCCAGCTTCATTTAACACTATATTACTTTAGTGCACCTAGTTTATTTGTAGTTCGTTTTCTGATTGGGTGATGGGGAAACCAAGTTCGTTGCTGATTGGCTCGCTCTTATTCGGATGCTCAAAATGTCAACAAAAGTGTGCCTCTTAAACATTGTTAATAAAATGCCCATTTGTGATTCTGAGTGAAGGAAAAGGGACCAGGGCTTGAATAAGTAAGTGAGACCATGAGAGAATTTGTCCACACAACTTAAAATTAACTTTACAATTTAAGTAGGCTTTCGCAATTCGACGTTACCTAAAAACTGGGCGACCTGCCAAATTAACCGTAGGAAGGTAACTCTGACAATAACAATTGGCTCGATTTGCCGTTAAGTGTTGAGCTTTCTAGGTCAGGATGTAAGACTTACGGAAGAAATAAATTTTGTGGCAATGTTGCTACTAAAATTATATTAGTAGCCGTGTAATATTGACTTTGGAAGCTCATTCAAAAGTGAAGCAGGCGTTCATAAAAGGGTTCTGCAAATTCCCATGGTTAGTGTAAAACCTGATTAGCAGTTTACATTAAATGATTTTGCGTGTGCCATCGCGTAATGTGAAAAAATGAAACCACTGAGTCCCAATTCGTCATCGAATGGGGCAAAAAGAACCAATAGTTTGCGTCATCTCACAATCGAATTGTTCTAAAGTCACTGAACTAGTCGTGGCGTTTGTTTTAATTGTCCATACTTCATTAGTATCAACTGAATGATTGCCTAGCAACGAGAAAACACAATCGAATTTTTCTGAACTCCAAGAAGAGGCTGTTGCTACTCGTGTATTTTGGTCGGTGTAATGAAGCATTAATGCACACTGGCGACTGCTTATAACATTCATCATTGTCAATATCTACTTCGATAATATTGAAAACAGCGGTACAGTTGTGGCTATCAGTGTTTAATTCAACAATGGGAATATTTAAAATGTCAAAATTCGGCCCATGTGTGATTTTTTGTAGGAAATTCTGACATCATCAGCCCGAGAAGCAGGACCCAGAAACAAATTTTGCGATCGATAGGCCCGTTAACGAAAGCCAGTTTTTCATTGGTCAATTGAATAGCCAATAAACGCACGATTAAGCGGGTGTCATGGTTGCCGTTAATCGATATCTCATTCGAGGCGTGGATATCGTTTGACCACACAATTTAGCATCTTATCTAACACACGAATTGAATTTAGTTGGATTTCGTGATAACATTGTTTCCTGTCGGACATTTTTGACTTTAAATATTGACGACCTTGCAATCAATTATTTTATTCAATGTTGAGAAACCCTGACTTCCTATTCCTCATAAAGTCAATGCATATTGCGATGAGCATAGCGATAAAAATCGATTTATGATTTAAACAAATTTTGGCGGTTTTTGACTTGTCAGAAGTCCGTCGTGATTTCAAATTTTGGTTTAATCTTTTCAAATCTAAAAATCTTTAGCGTTGTCTCGATTCCTAATTTCACTCGTTTTTGTATTATTAACTTTTCGCTGCAAACTCGATTAACTGAATTTGTGAAAAGTTTAATTAACAACTTGTCAGATTATTTTTTTAAAAATGAAATGATTTTAGTGTGAATTTAGAGAGTCCACTCAAGTCCTTTGTTACCATTTGGCATGTCACATTATTCTCATACACGCCTGTCTTAACTTCACACAATTTCAGAGCAAATTTGCGTAATTTACAAGGCGTTGGTTTTAAAAGGCACCTTCAGCTTGTCGTGTTACAAGTTAAGATGAACGCAAATTCCAGAATCACCAAATCTTGTCTTGTGTTTGGATGGGTTTTAGCTGCTTTCACACACACAATAAAAATAATTTTAAGGCGATAAGTGAACCATAATATTACCTTAATTTACTCAATTTGGGAAATGGAATGATAATGCGCGCCATTGACTTTTACGCGAATTACCGCCTAACCCAATTGGTGCTTTTTAACACACTCTTTGTGACCTTTAATTGGAAAATCAATAATCCCCATCACTCACTTTCACTTATTGGAAATTGTGTACTGATAGCTTATACTCAGTGCAGTCTATTGCTTTCAACTCCTACACACGATATCGATTTTGGTGAAGGGGGAACGTCCGAACAAATTTACCTCAAGTTGATTGGCTCCTGCCACCCACCCTGACACTTTATTGGTCCACGCTTTTTAATTATCTGCGGACAGCACCAATGAACAATCTCGTCCACCATCTTCGACTATAATGTTTATGAGCTGTATGCTCTACCACCACACTATGGTTTCCATGGTAACGTCCACAATTCCGATCAGGGGCTCACCTTATTTTCGAGTTCTACAACAACGATCTACGCACAATTAATTCACCCAATTACAAACACGCAGCAGGAATTATTCTGGCTATCAAGAAACATAATTTAGCTAATTATAAGCGTACACTTTACACGGAGAGAAACTTGGACTTCAAAACTAATAACAACGGAAGTCAGGCATAAAAATGGCAGTTCTGTGTGTGATTTAAACAAAAGCGCACTTTACCCGCCGTAAAAATGTCCGAATGGGGTAAATACACGAGCCAATAGGATTAGAGGAACCTGTCATCTCGCTCCGAACGTGGACGTGGTTTTCGATAGTATACCTTCGGATTTGCTGTCTCGCGATGCCTTCTCCCCGTAACGAATATCCGCTGATTGTGGATGTAGTGGCCGGAGGTGTAGGGGTCCACGGTTAGTTCAAGGTCGTCCTCCTGGAACGTGGCGCTCGTGTAGCCCGAAGACGTGGACGAATCGACCGTCCACGCTCGGCGGTAGTCAAGAGGCTCTCGAGGTCTAAAACTGCGTACTAATTGTCTTGGAGGAGGATGACTTGGTTTCGGTGGAGCAGACCTCTCCAGACGCGGTGGAGGCTTCCGTCTGGGCGGTAGGGATTGATATCGATTTCTGCGCTCCCCCCTGCGACGTTCAAATGGCTCCACGGAGACGATGGTTCTTTCGTCAGATTCACTAGAAAAGTCGCTGGCTAAGGATCGTGCTCTTGGCGCATGAGTTGGTCTGTAGAGCTTGAATCTTCGTGGAAATTGCGTCGGCTGAATCACGCTAGTTTGATTACCACCGTCAGAAGACGGCGCGTAGGCCTTCTGTCTGGTGTTCGGCATCTTCAAGTTTACTCCGGTTCGCTGAAGGCAACAGGGACAGTGTTGGGTCGATGGTGTCCTGCGACTCGCTTCATCGGGTTTCCCTCTGGTATCGAATTTGTCCACCTCCGTAGAACTGTCATTGTCATCCGTCGGCATGTGCAAATCCGTCGACATCAAATCTACTGCCCCCTTCTCCTTCCCCCCCTCCTCCTCCTCCTCCTCCCACAGAATGTACGTTGTCGTTATTCTAGCCGGATGTCTTCCAAATGTTGGACTACTGTGTGGCTGAACAATTGTGGCTGACTGCTCCGAAGTCCCCACATCAAACTCGGACGACGTCGATTCGACCTTCGGCTTGCTTTGTGGCTGTTCTTTCGGCTGGGCCTTCTTGGATTTAGCTTCCACAGCTGAATCACGCGTCTTGGAGAGGTTGTTCACGAGAACCGTGAATGCTTCTTCGTCTTGCATAGCGAAGGACACCACAGCCGCTGCTTTGCCTTGTCGCACGGCGATGGAAATAGCTAACTCGTCCTTGTCTGGCGCAAATCGTTCAACATTCGTGAACTTCACTTTCTTAATGGGCGGCTTCTTTCCGTTCTTTTCGCCCGAAAATACGATCCGATTGGCGAAAATCTTTGCCACAAATCCCACCGACGTCTCCTGGCGTGACTTTAAATTGACATAATGCATCGCATCGCCAACATCCTGCTTCTTTTTCACTTTCACATAATCAAAGTGAGTTAGTGGCGTCTTGACGGTGGTGTCAGAAGAGGGTGGCATTTTGGTCTTAGCCGGGCTCGCAGACTTTCCCATTTCTAAGCGAGTGAAATTCTGACTTGTGTGTTTTTTGTGTGCGCGGGGTGAGCTGCAGCGCCTAGCCAATCACCACCAAGGCCCTACATTGGGTGAAGGGTTGTGCCAAGAGCGAGACGCACTCACGTTCACCCTAACCTAGTACTCGAGTTGCGCTAGCTAAACCACAGCTGACTAATCGTTGTTTAAACGAACACTTCGTTTTTTTACCCGCGCAATACGACGTGGGAGGTGTGCTGCTTGTCTCTATCCTACGATACAATGCAGCTTCTAAGATTTAAAAAAAATTTAGAACATGAGTTCAAACACACACACACTTTTGATCAGATAAATTTTCCAAATTTTAAGCTTATTTAGGCACAGCGATTTTTGTAGCTTGTTTCAATCTCAAACTACAGCTTCCAGTGCTGTTCCTTGTCTCACGTGCAGAGATAGCACAAAAAATCGATAATCCCACGTCCGAACATCGCTCAATCGATCGATCAACTACCGTACCGTATCGGTGGGACAGAATTTCGGCAAAATGTCAATAATCCCGCATCATTCGTCTGCGCCAGAAAACTAAACAAATGGTGAATATGTTGGGATAAGGTGGTACTAGCATCCAAGTCGTCACCTTAAAATGTCCTTGAGGTGACCAATAGGAATGGCTGTGTCGATAAAATTGGCGCTTGATTTGAATATGTATTCAAACGATATAGTGAACTGAACAAGTCGGTTTGGGATCTATAAACGACTTGTGATTGGGTAATTGAGTCACACACATTTAATTTCCACCCGCACTGCACCCACATTTCTGCCCCTTAAAGTACGATTTACGCATAAATTTGGTGTTCATTCCCATGCACCGAAAACTGTATAATCCGCCACAAAATGACATTTAAATCAAGAACAATAAATGTGGTGTGCCGTTTTTTTTGCTTATTGCCTACAAGGTTTAATTTACTACTACTTACTGTAATAAAGTACCATCTAACTATCAGCCCATTTATTGTGGAACATGTGAAAATGTATAACAGCAATCAGGCTGTTCTACGGCGAAGCAATTGTCAGAATTAGTTAAATTCGACCAAATGGTCTAATAAAACGCGTTTGAAGACTTAAAATTGTCATTTTGCTAAGCTAAAACCGCAGTTTTGTGAAGCTGGCGAGGTAAATTAGTACTCCTCGTAGTCCGAATCGAGTTGGACGAGGAAGGCTGTCCTTGAATTGCACCTGGAACCGCGTTTTGACTGTCGACGTCCGCGTTTTCCTCTCCGGCTACCCCTGTGCTCCCCAACAGTCTCAATCTCATACCTTTTCGAATCGAAGACGAACATACGCGCGGCCTTGGTGACAACAGCCCCGCTACGCGGATTAATCCTGATCACTTGAACTGGTTCAACGTCGCTATCATCAAAGCTTTGGCTTCGTTCAGAACTCCTGCTGCTGGTGGAGCTGCTTCTCGAAGAACTGCTGAATCGTCGTGTTCTTCGCTGGCTGCGACGTCGACGACGTGAGGGTGACCTGCGTCGATCGTCGTATCGACTTTGGTAGTGGTTGTCGAGGATCTGGAATGGTGACTGCGGTGACGATCGGCTACGTCGTGATCGGTTTTCCTTCTTCAGACACTCACTGTCGATGAAGACGGTTCGCAGGTTGCCGTCCAGGTTACTCGCAGTTGAAGTCGCGGATTGATGACGACTGCGGCTACAAAGACAGTCACGACCAGGAAAATCAATAATGCGGGTTCCCTTGACCCGTGCTGAGAGTTCACAATACCAGGTGATTTAGTTTTATGTGAAATCAATTATAGAACCTTGTTCATGCTGATGACGATGATGTTGCAAAATTATCGCACAGGGACCACGTAGATGGAAAGTGGCGGTTTCTACCGCTTTTCCACTTTAAATGAGTGGTTTCGGCAGTTTCCATGGACACCTTGGTTTATGTTAAGGCACCCGGCGTTTCATTGGATGCTGCCAGAAGTTTGGTATGTCAGAAATTCAGTTTTAAATGTGAGTTCACACGAAAAAGCAATGTAGACCCCCCCCACACACACACACACAACTCTGGTGGTCACCGTCATTTATTAGCGAACGCAAGCAATTAGTTGAAGACATTCTACCCAACCTCACAAGCCATGCAATCGCCTCAGCGTAGAACTCGCAAGACAAGCGATGTTGAATACACAGAAGACAGGTCAGGCTTTGAAGTGTAGCCGTTTACGACGTGATCTGTTGATTAATTAATTAATTAATCAATTAGTCGCCCACGTGTTCAAATCTTGTGTGTTGCCGAGACAAGACTCACTCAACGCAAATACCTGTCTAAATGTTAATTATTCTTGACAAAGAGTGCTCCTTGTCAATTTAGCATATTATAGCAAGCTGTTTTTGACATTCAGGATGTTTTGAAGTGGTCGGGGAAAATCTGACCAATGAGGGAACAGTATGCGTCGCCTCTGTCCAATGACGGCTCTATTTCGAAACCGGCTCATTTAAAATTCTTTCATGAAGTTTATTACCTTAAAAATCAGCAATTAGGGTGATCACTTGAAATAAGTCGTACTAACTGCAATGTTCCAATTGCAAGTAATGCATTATAATTAAAACTGTGGGGAAGAGGTGAAATACATTAATGATCCAATCAGATTTAACCAATTAACAAACGCGAAGACATTTTACACATTTTACAAACGCGTAGACATTTTACACAAGGGAGGTAACACAATCACGTGAATTGCTGCAACAACTGCGGCTTGTGGGTGTGCAGTGTAATCCCTCAGAGTCCTACTGAAAGCCACTCTCTTTTTAGGTTCTTCTTCATCATTGGTTACTTCCTTTGTTTAGTTGATAAGACAAAGTCTTAGTAATCAATATTGCAGACATTTAGTAAAACGTGAAGACAACGTTGCATATGTAGGAAAAACCAGGGTCTATTGATTTTCCGATTTAAAAGAGTGGATGCTATTGTTTCCATCGATTCTGCAGGTTCCTATCGATTTTTTCAATTTAAGTTAATTGATCAGTCGGTTTCTATCGAATATGAAGTTTGATTGGGCAGATGTGACAGTTTTTATCGATTATTGCCATTTAAAGTGAATGAATTCAGCAGTTTTTGTAAGGTTGAGGAAATTTAGGGATTGTTGGCTTTGCTGTTTCTATCGATTATGCAGTTACGACCGATGAATTTCACATGACCAAATCGCTTGAACTTTCCTTAGCGAAATCTTTAACTGATAGAGGTTTTTACAAAAAAATTGACCTAAAAATGCGCTTGACGCATGTCACTCATCAAATAAATGCGTATATGTCAGTCACCGTTGGAGAAATATGGGTTTGGAACCAAAATTATTCATTTTATTTGTGTTAGAAAAAATTAACAAGCAAGTTTTATTTCGGTGGTAAATTAATCTCGGTGTTTAATGAAAGAAATGCGATTCTAACTGACCTTGTCATACTTCACACTTCTCTGATCTCCCAATGTCGTGGTATTATGAAAAAGGGACGCGTTTGTGTCAATTTAAACGGCAATTTGTGTTTTTCACAGGCGCGTCTAATTGGATTACGATAAATTAGTGCAATGGGTGTTACCATGGTTACTGTTTAGGAGGGACTCAACGCCTCCCAATGAGAAAACTCGGTTTATAGTTTTGTGTCAAAATTCGGGATTCAGGTGAAATCCAAACTTCACGACACCTACTATCTTTGGAATTCTCAGACACCATCTTAAAATGCGCGCAAAAGTTTAAGAATCATTCATGAATTCACTTAAGCACCAACAATTCAAACTGTGTGATTTGTAATTCACGGAATTTGGACATTCCAGTTTTGGCGAAGCGAATTTAAAATTTCGAAAATCCATCAACTATCACTCACACACATGACATCTAACATTTTAGCTGTATCAAGGCCGGGTAAGATTTTGCTTCCATCCGAAATTCATGCTTTTAACTTCGAATTAAAAAAACTTTGTACTTGTTCTCTTTCAATAGTGTGAATATTTGGGCATTGTCGGGTCATTTTGGCAGCCGCAAGTAAAATTTGTATTGCATGACGAATGCTAAATTTATACCAAAATTGACCAATCAGAGGTTGACTGATGCTTACCTCTACACTGGAATATGCCACCTCATTCAGCAAGTTTTTTAAACAAAACAACTTCAATGTTTGTTTCACAAGTTGCCAAACCTACGGCAACAAATATTACACAAGAAACCATTATTTTGTGCCACATCTGACTGCACAGAAATGAGGAAAATTTTAGCGCTTTTCACTTTCGAATTCGTCATGCACACCATTTCACACAGTTAAATGGGCCGCGTGTCCTTTCATTGGCTATTCGTGCTCTGAGTGTGCTATCGATTTTACTCACTGTCAAGGGCAGTCACGTTAAAAGCAAGCTGAATTTGAAATCCAATTGTGAGGTACAGAAACAGCACAAAAAACAAACTTTTAACTTACCAGAAGGTTGCTGTACAATTGAGCCACACTTGTTGTCGGCAATCAGCCAATGAACGTGCGGCTCGATGCATTGTAGCGACGCCGGACACCGCTCCTTCCGAAGCTATCTGTGAAAGCTTGTCCGGACAAGTTATGCGGAAGGTGATTGGTGCCAACTACGCTACCTCGCTTCTCATTGGTCTCCCAGTAGCCAATCGTCGTTGTCGAAGCACAAAACCAATGAAATTAGTCCTGGTTTACTCATCGCACAGTATATTCAAATCAGACAGAATTATTACCACCGCGTCTCCTGGAGTCATCTTCGATGTAGCGATACTTCGTTGCATTATACTTTGATTCAATGATGCGGTTCTACATTCATTCAACGATGTCTACAACTCACGTTTAAACTGGCATACATTCGTTTACCTAACTTAAGGCTAAATTAGCCTTTTAGTGAGCCGGTTTTACTGAGGTGACGTTACCAGATTCCGTGATTTTGCAGATTTCGATTCAATCCACCAAGAACATTCCCTTACGATCAATATCTAATCAAAAAACGGCTGCCACAGTAGCCCCAGAATGACTCGCACTGGTCACAGTCTGGTCATATGATTACAGTGTAGACTAAATTTATCGATTTTTAAAAACTCGAATTCTGAAATGGTTTTACGCGTGGTACTGAAGACCAGGGTTATCGAAATTGATCGAAACTTCTGTCCAATAGGCAACGCTGAATTTAATCGATAATTCCATACTCGTAGATTTAAATGTTAGAGAATCACGCATAGCTGGAATGCCCTTTTAAAAATTTCCAATGTGTTAGTGCAATCGTAAAATGCGCGTGCTTTGAAGGCGAAAATCGACAGTTCATAAAGCGATTTCACCGGGTGTTAATGTGAGATCGCAATCGTGTGTGTGTGTGTGTGCGTGCGTGCGTGTGGGTGCGTGCGTGCGTACGTGTGTGTGTCAAATCTCCACAGTGAGTCATTGGCATTTCAAAGCCGAGCTAAACTATTTGCTATCTGCCAACAAGATCTCACTCAGCATCAGGCTTCGTGGTGTGGATAACAGCTTAGCCACTCCTGCCCACCGCAGATTCGTGACATTTCAGCAAAACAAACTAGATAGTAAGAAGGTGTCATGTGATTTCACTCCCTACGCCGCTTGTAGCGATGCGTACAACGTGGTCTCTTCCACACTCAAATCACTTTTCCTAACTCCACTCCTGTTCCATTAATCCATCTATCCTAATGAATCGGTGTCAGCTTTTCGTTGCCTACAATTGTAATTTAGTACGTGTGCCTCCCGATAGCGTGTCGAAATTAGTGCGAACTGTGAATTCGGAGCACGTTGATTGGTTGGAACGGAGGCTCAAATGCACCTACACTCATAGACACCGCAAAACACAACTATGAATAAGATTCACATTCATACGTATCCCGAAAACATATTCTTAGCACCTACTTGCCACCTCTCCTCCCCCACAAGTGTCTCGTAATCCGATAGTGTCCTTGGTACGCACGAGTGTGTTTTACTGACCTTTACTTGAATCTAATTACGTGGTTTCTATCAACATTGAAAAGTTATGTTGCAGAATGACCCCACAGTGGTTACGCCAAATGCCTTATGACTTATCTGACGTGTTGTTGACTAGAGGCTGGAATGAGTCAATTTTTGCAAATCCATCGACTTAAAAGGCGCGCCAGTCCACAGAACTGGCGCCAATTTTAACTGAGTGGTGATCAGCCAATCAACGTACGATTATGTTCAATCTCAACACCAACGATTTCGACAATGCGTCGTTACGTTTTTAATCAAATGGGCAACCAAAATTCAGGACCGATTTGGTCGTTGAATGATCAGAGTCTGTTGAATGTGCTGTTTGTCCAACTCCACAAACTTTCACAAGAACTTGCTAGGATGTCTACTAGATGTGATTGCTATAGTTGTGATCTACTTTCACTGTTTTAACAAGTTGAAAGTACCTTCTATTGCCAGACATATTTAAGTAGTACGTATACAATAAGCGTAAATAAACAAACTTCGAATGAGGCGCACTTTAGCAGGCTTAACAGAAAGATCTGGTAGGTTGTTCAACGTTGTGCAGACGACTCAGCCAAACGAGAGTTAACGCGAGCTCGGGGCTGGATGAGCGCGTTTTACCCACGCGTTGAGTTCGTGTTGCAGGGGAATTGGTGACACGGCAGCCTCACTAACCCCACCAGAATCTAACACAATTAACTCAGTCCCGCTGGATCGATGCCTGCGGATCTGTGGTTGGCGTGCGAGAGTGCGTGCGTGCGTGCTTGCGTACTTGCATGAGCACACTGCCACTCGAAGCCCAATCACTGCTTGTTGGTTGGTGCTTATGGTATATATGCTGTCGTAGCGCGTTCGCCTACTGCTGGAATACCTACGCTCAACCAAGCGAATCCTCATTCCACGGTTTCACGTCTTCCAAACTTGGTTGAAAGTGATCACACCAAATGGCCACAGAATCGACGAAGTTGCAGGTGGATAAGATGCTGATGAAGAAGTTGAAGAAGGACACCGGGTTCGAGCCGACGATGAAGAAGCTGTTCGAGAAGGCGAAGAAGGCGAAGCCTAAGAGTGTGACGGCTACCGTGCTGAACACGAAGACGACATTCGCCGCGGGAGCTAAGGGCAAACCTGTTGTGCCTTTGATAGATTATGCGAAAGTGAAGAAACTTAGCAAGGGACCGATGAAGGATAAATGCGCGGTTGTGGCGTACGAAGGTGATGCCAAGAAGAAGATCTACGTCATCGCGATGCGTTTTGCAACCGAGGAAGGCTTGAAGGTGTTCTACGACGCAGCCAACACCAAGGGCGTGAAGCCTCCAGAGCCGAAGCCAGCGCCACCACCGTCGCCAACTCCTGAGCCCACGCCAAGACAACCGTCACCGCCATCTAGTTCTTCGTCTTCGCCGTCACCGGCGCGACCAAGTACTCGTGAATCGCGACCAACTGCGCGTCGTTCTCCAGTCCCTGTTACACGTACTAGCACATCTAGAAGTTCAGATACTGAGTATACCATTCACGAGTACCCTCAAGCACAGCCAGCACCTAAACCACAACCACAGCCCCAAAGACCTGCTTCATCATCATCATCATCTTCGTCTTCGTCTTTAAGAATGCCAACTCCCAAGCAACCAACACCACGTCAGCCAACACCGCGTCAACCAACACCGCGTCAACCAACACCACGACAGCCTACACCCCAGCGGACTACCCAACAACGCCGATCTAGCTCCAGTTCCAGCTCATCGTCTTCCTCCAGGAGAATTCAAAGGAAGCCCATGCCATCTCCAGCTCCAATTCGAACCACCTACGTCTCAACTGATCAAATCGACTCCCGAGGTGACAGGCGGTACCGATCGAATGGCGACGTTAGTCAGGTGAATAGACCGAACGATTTCGCCACCAGCTACTTAGGCAGCGATGATCGTGATTTCAGAATTTCCAAGTCAACAAGACCATCACCAGAGCCAGTACGCATCTACCGTTCTGATAAGGTCAAAAGCGAAAAGTATGCTGAACCCGTTCGTATGTACTACTACTCATCAAGAGCAAGTAGACGCAGTGCCAGCAGTAGCAGCAGCAGCAGCAGCAGTTCGTCTTCCAATGGAAGCTCCTCCAGTAGTGAAAGCATCGCAACCAGGTGGCTGCGGCATCGGTCGGGAAGAAGAGGCGAAAACCACAGTCGAGGACGGGGTTACCGCCTGCAGGATCGGAAACGCTACACGTCCAGCTCAAGTCGCTCCTCCTCCTCATCATCCGACGGCATTCAAGTTCAGAACTGGAGGATAAGGCGCAGAAGCTCGTCGTCATCGTCGTCTTCCTCCTCTTCTTCCTCCTCTTCAGCGGAATTCTTGAAGAAAGGCCCTGGTGGCAATCGTGGCAGGTCAGACAGACGCCAGAACCTCACCTTTATCAATTCCCGATAAAAGTGATCGACTTTATGCTACCTAGTAACCCATCAGACATCCCATTTTTGATCCATGTCATCCAGTTTGTATTTTTCATCCCCTCATTGGGCATCTGACTGTCATTCTATAGAGACGTCCATGGTCTTCCGATTAATAACACTAAATATATTACAGGGATTTTTAAAAAAAAATATCATTTTGGGGTGCTGAAGCGTGTTAAATCACTCCGTCGATTCTATCCCTTATTAGATCGATTTTAGATGTTGAAAAATACAAAGTATGGCCTATTTTCATGGGAAACCTCCGTGTCGATCACTGTTTATGCTTATTTGTCACAGGAGCAGTGTTAAACCCCGAGCATTGGGGTTAGCCAACCAGAGGCCGAGACGTCTGAGCCGCGATTGGCTGGTTACCGATAGCAGAGATGCAAAATAGCCTACGTTGTCTAACTAACCTATGTGCTACAAGTGCTCTGGGATCAAACTCGAGCGAGCGAAGACTGAGTAAAAAATTGCATTAAGGAGTGTCAATGATTGCTCCCACACGCTTCATTGACAAGTGTGACACTTAAGTGGATCCAGGGTCAATTAATTAGCAGAAGGTAATGTATTTTAGTTTCCTGTCATCTAATTAGCGACGTGCTGTCGATTTTAAACAACGCGCATACCCTCACGTTTGACGTGTAATCAATCAGCTATGATTTCGGAGTTGCAAATGGAAATTTCAGAGTGCACTTATGTTAAGGATTAAAGTCTTCAAGAAATGTATCGAAAAATCCGGAACTTTTACCGGTTTAATGAGTAAAATCGTTGAAAAAATGTTTCGTTTTTAAGTAGCCCAAGTTGGGTAAGCGCTTTCGTGGAATAAGCAGAACCTGAATTTAAAGATCTAATCCATGATCTGAATTTTTTTCGAAAGTGCGATCAACGTTTTTGTCGTTAAGTTAGCACCATTCCGAACTCGATACTGTGCATAATTTTGCATTAAGTCTTGTACACACCACTTCATATCGACCGCGCACTACGCGCGCCCTCATATCATTGGTCAACCTCGTCCAGTGCGTGATTTTTCGCTACAGTCGTTACTACGATTGAAATCTTTTTCACGAAGCAAAATAAGAACAGTTAAACGAATTTGAGTATCGATATTTTTTTAAAAGATACGAATCTACAAAAGAAAGATTATGCACATCGCGACAGGTGAGTTTGGCCAATGTTTACATTAGCTTCTTATTGGATGATAATCCCAGTTTAGAGAAACAAATTTGAAGACTGTGTTTGAAAAAAAATAATTGATTGAATTGCTACGTGACTATAGAGGTTTCAATGCAATCCATTTGGTCGCTTATAGCCATGAAAACTTACAACGTGGCGGTATGTTGAAATGCCACACAATGTTAGTCTGAGTATTAAGTGGATTGGACGCAATTTTAGCCAAAAATGCATTAAATGTGTCATTTGAGATGATCTGAAGTTCGTTGATCACTTCAATGTTAAGATAAATCGAGCATTTTTTAAAGTATCTTGTTTTTTACTTTCATTAGATTAAGTATTCCGTCATGTGAGTACTCTACTAAACATTGATTAGACTTGCTTGGTAATGGCAATATGAAACCTACGGTAAAGTCTGAAAAAAATAGCGTGTGGATTTTTGCTGGTGTTACTAAAAATACTACCAATACAGCAGTAAAATTACATTTGCAACAGCCAATTAATATTCGCTAAAGAAATTTTTCTTTGTAATCAATCAACAGAAATTCCACCAATATTGTGCTGTATTTAGCAGAAGTAAATAGATCTCTGGTTTGCAAATTTGTTTCCCAACTCAAAACCAATAAAATGGACCTAAAATCGGCCAATAAAATCATCCAGATTTGGTAAATTGCACGTGAATACTGTTGTCGATGCTAAAACAATATGACTTGTATTAAGGGTGTCACCAATGTGAGTCTTGTACATTTTCAAATACTGCGTGCACACCATTTCATGAATTCATAGAGACCGCCCTTCTTCCATTGGCTTAACGTTTTTGCAGATTCCACAGGCTGATTTCTGATACTGTGCTGGGAATAAATTAGTCTACAAAATCTATACTTGGCGCTAAGTTTCGGAAAAGGTAATCAACCGAAGTCACTGTGATACAACATTTCAGTGGATTCTCTATGAATTACCTACTTCGAATACATTCAGTAACACACAACCAGTAATTTAAATAAATAAAGTGCTTACTGATCGCTTAGGTTAAGTTGGCTGCTTTCTGATTGGTCAATTAGGCAAACAAGGGCTTTAGTGTTGCCGCCAATCACGTTTCAGCCCAAAACAGACTAATGAGCTGTCAAAAACGATTTTGCAAAGGATTATAGCGCATGACACACTGACATGGAACGCCCTTTGTCAAATCTAATTAAGCTTCTAACATAAAACTAGCCTTTCGTGTGGCAGAAATTTGCTAATTTGTTTCAAACACTCAATTAAGAAATTAATCGATGAAAAATTGCATAATTTTGTGAATAAAATCATTTAGAATTTGATAGTTTTATCGATATTAAAGTAAGCATACAATGGCTTGATCTCCCAACAAATTATTGTAGGATTTTTGTTTAACAAAATGAGTGTTGATCAAGTTCATCGATTTTTTTAACGATGATTGTCATTGGCCAAGCGAAACCACCCAATCACTGATTTGAATTCAGCTTGCTGAAACGTGCTTTTTTTAGATTCTGATCCATATTTCACGAAAGTTGATGGCGTGAGTATTATCATGCCGTATTCAAAACACAAATTGTTTAGCCGGAAAATCTGACTTTGAAGCACCTAGGCTCATTTTGCTTGATGAAAGGGGATACTCACCTAATTACCGCGCCTGAGGAACAAGTCTTTGTATCTTGTGTAGTTCCGCACACAAAATTCCACAGGGCGATTAGATTATGTGTCAGGCAGATACCCCGCGTCATTCACAGCAGCACCTACATCTGTGCCAAGATTAATGACTAAACAATGGCGTGATCGTAAACGTGGTACCTAAAATTCCTCATTAGATATTGTTTCGTGGATATTGAGTGTCACTGTGGAAATCGCACAAGCTAGTAGACGTCATTAATTATTGCAAAAAAAAGTAAATTTTGGCAGCACCTACACGCACATTTTGCGTCTTCAGTCTACTCTGATGCGTAAGCTCGAGGGGACGCCAGCCAATTGGATGGCGGCGGTCGATATAAATCTACGAAATGGTGTGCACGGGCAACTTGCTTCTGATCGGTCACCCAGGGTTCCAGCAATTTTGCCTTGCGTGTACACGAACGGTCTCATCCAGAAAATTGACGAAAAAAAAGATTGCGAGTCTCGTTGATTGGTTAGACAGGGGGCCATTCCTCTTCTGATCTTATTGGTGTTTGAGGCCTTGGGATATTGTAAAGCTACCTCATTTCTAGAACAACAGATTGCTATCGGAAGACTTCAGTAACCTCTCAAATCGTACTCGGATGTAAAATCCGTTAAAGACTATTTCACTCAGACGTTATTAACAAAGTACATGACTCTAACAAAGTACATGACACAAGATGTAATGTCAGGATTACCAACGCGCGCCGCTACTTACTAGCTACAGGTACGCGCGTTTTACCAAAATTTATGCTTCATCAGGTAATAAGGTAGTAATTACGTCCGTTGGCTTGTGTTGGATTCACAGGAGCACACTTATAGAGAACTGGCAAGATCTAGAAAATGACCATTACGGGATCAAATTGTAGTCCAAGCATCGAGGTAAACCAGGACATGGTCTCGCAGTGAGAACTGCTTCAGTTTAAATTTATGCGCATTTGGCTACCTCGATTTCAATTGGGCTTGGTAACACCTCCCAAGTGACACTAGCCAATAGGGTGAGGGCAGTCAATTTGAATGAAATTGATGGTGCGCATAAAAGCTTTTTATTTGTAATCACGACTGAATGCTTAAAAATACGTTCACCTAGAAACTATGAGATTTAATTTGGGAGTTTCGTATCAAATGGAATGACTTTGAATAACCCGACTACTGAAAACTGTGGAAAGTAGTATCTTCTTCTTCAGTTGGGTCAACTGAAGATTTCCTGCTCGAATCACGTGGGAACGGGTTTTAACAGTGGATATTAAACACCGACGAATGTCATTGGCTAAAACGTTATAAACCAAATGTTCATTGGCTGCTGCCTTGTACGTTCTAGCACAATTTTCGTACAAATCTTGGGGTGAAACCTGGCAATGTCAATGCGCGAAATTTGGTGCCAATAATATTGTACAAACGCAGGCACCTAACTGCGGTTTGTGTGTAATTTATCTGTGTTCGTTCACATGCCAACGGGCTGTAAATGCGTGTGAAAACACGTACAGAACGCATCAGCATCAGAACTAGTGAGTCATTCACGTCGACAACACAGTTTTGTTTAAATTGACTAAGCGCGCACTGATCTGGCCTTTACAAAATGGTGTTTATGTGTTTAAATTGGGCGCCAAGTGTCGGTCATGTTGTCCGGCAAACTTATTTGACAGTAAGCCGCCCATTTAGCGATCTCCACAAATTTGGGAAAAAAATATTAGTCAATACGCTTAGCTGTTTTGTTGAAATCAACTGGCGCTTTAAAATGACGCGCACTGGCCCGAATTACACCTTAACTCCACCATTTTGACGTGAACTACGCAATACACAAGTTGCAGTTTAGCCGTGAAACAGAGCACATTTGTAGAACGATCAAAGACACGATTTTCCCTCTACTTAGAGGTGCCAACACAAAACCGTTTTTGAAAGCCGCACAAAATTCAATTACCTTTAACCACGCAAAATGCAAAATAAGTGTTTGCTTGCCAAATAACATGCAAATGCAATTGATGCATTCAATAAATTTGATGATCTCTACGATAAGATTGTCTGGTTCTTCGTTCCTGATTGTTGCTCTGCGGAATTCTCTTAGCCACAATGATTGATGTATTCTGAATATTGCTGACAGCTAATCTTGAGTTAGTTAACGCCAGCATGACTGACAAGGCCTTCTTGGCATCAGTCGGTAGTTTGACAAAAACGTTTTTTTTTCATGTAATCGACATCTGATTGTCAAATGCGCCAATCCCAGTTAAGATAATAAGACTGTATCTAACCAATTCTGACTGCTGAGGTACTGGCAATAATTAATAATTGAGTATTTATTTTCGTTCAATCTACATTGTTGACATAACAGGTAGTTAATTGGCAATTAGCAAGACTGCAGCAAGATTAGTCTAGTCTTGCAACAAGCTAATTACTAACACGCTCGCGGAATTGTTAGAACATTCGAGAAAGGTCCCACCAAAACGACACGATAATTGCTCACAGCTTCCACGATAACTCCACGAACAATACGTTTTCGGATCTTGATTAAATTAGGAAGAATGCAAATGATACTGGCACGAATTGGTACATGTCTGCAGGACCGCAAATTGCAACGCTACGCATGCCAGGCTGCTTAATTTCTATTGGCTGCCTAAGTCGCCCAGGACAACTTTAATTGGTCACCCGAAGGTTAGTCTTGGACCAATGGCGGAGTCAGTTAAAGCATTGACCCTTCATCCGCTCCTCCAACCACCAAATTCCGGAGTTTGGGTTAGAAACTGACTTTAAACCTGTAGTTGCACAATTCCGAGCATCTTGATTTACTGTGATTAGAATCAGAGAGGATAATACCTTAGAGTGGCTGGGCCAATGAGATGGCGGCGGTCGATTTGAATTAACAGTTATGCCTGCCAAAATGGCGACCTGAGGCAAATTTTCGTTTTCGAAATGCGTAACTTACTTTATCGCAGTGGAAAACATTCCTTTGTTCACATTTGACGGTAATTTAATCAATAGGTGGTAATCTATCCGAAATTACCTACAAGTGACTTTTTCAATTTTTAAATCACACACTAGTTGGTATGGCGATTTTCAAATGTTAAATATATTCAAATGAGCAACCAAATATTGATTTAAATGTGCTCAAAGTAGTCAAACAGTTTTTAAAAGACAGTCATACACATGGGCATATACACACTTGATGAGATAAGTGTTTGATGTGGTGCATAAACTGACCAGCATTTCGCATTTGCGTATCATGTGCGAGGCCTCAGAATGCGTATGGGGTTTCCCAGGCTGTCCCACGTGAATTCGGCATTGCCCGTCCGCCTGGAAGTGTTGTAGTTTCCGCTCCGTCGGTTACCGCGCCATCGATTCACCCTCCCCCGACTCAGCGATGTCTCGCTGTCGCTGTCGGTGGGCACGAAAAATGCATCAAAATCGGAAGTCTCACTGGTGTAGAGTGAGTCCAGAGACGACACCTCAAGACCGGACTCCCTTTTAAAGCTGCGATTCGCGCCCAGGATCTTGGTCCTTGGCAGCTTCCAACTCGGTGGAATCTCGATTGTCGTGGGTTCTTTGACGCAGGATTGTTGCCTAGTCTCCTCACAGTCCTTCGCCTTCTTGATCTTCGTTTCGACGCGGAATGTCTGGGAATCAGAAACACTCCTGCGACCCCGTGGAAGAATCGTCTCGGGCGAGTCCAGCTGTAACTGCAAACAGCCTCGTGATGGCGACTTCGCGTTGGCTGACTTGCTGGCAGGCTCCTGCCTTCTACCGTCGCCATTCTCCGATATATCCACGCTGGCCTTCACACCCATATTGTACAGGATGTTAACATAACCATTCACCGTCTTGAACTTCATCGTGACGTAGAGACACTTCTTGTTGACGTCAGTGTTTAGTCGGACCACGAGGATGAGATCCTCCTTGTACTTGATAATGTGCGTCACCTTGGCAAAGTCCACAACACACTTTTTATTGCTGAATCTGAGACAGTCGTCGTAGAGCGAGACGCTGGACACTTTCGGCTTTGATTTAATCGCCCTCCGCAGGCACTTCTCTGCCTTCTTCTCAACCTTCTTCTTTGCTTTGCACCTGCGCACCCTAAGGTAGAGTAGGTCGCAAGTAAACTCCGGTCTCGCCATGTTTACTAGCACGTGGAAATGCGCTCAAAACCGGCTACACACCAAATTTATTGTCGGAAAGCGCAGAGCTGGTGACTATGTCTGTCGCACTCTCTCGCTATGTTTGTGTGTGTGTGTGTGGGCCTGCTAAAAAGGCGAGTCCATCTCCGCACAATCCTCTCACCGCAGCCCACGCAATCGAATCCTTAAATCCGGATTAAGCTCTGTTTACATGCATTCAAAGACATCGAGTGAAGGTCGCCGTGTCCTTGAAAGAGATTCGCCTCTGGTCGCCAAAGCGCTGAAACGCAGAGAATTGAGGTCGCGAGAGTCGGATGACATTTCTAACCGTTGGTGAGTTTACAGAATGTCGCGTCAAGGAATCCTTATAGTTGCAAGTCGGTGTAACTGTTGCGCAAGTTTGTTTCAAGTAATTGGAATACGTTTGTGAGAAATTAGCGGTGGTGATTGATTGCAAAAAGGTAGCTAAATGGGAAATGAGTTAGCTAATGACGAATTTGTGTAGATTTTTGTGCAGTTGAATCACTGTGGTTGAAAAAATTAAACACATGTCTATCACTGCTTCCACGCCGACAACAATCACTGAATGGAGTTCTTGTGGAAAATTGTAACAGCTGATGAAAATTACATTTTTTGTTGAGGGAATCCCAAACGTGAAGACAATTTTGTGAGTGGGGAACGCAACAGCCAACAACTGAATGAAGAACTTGATCCGAAAAGGTCATTTGCTTGGCAAGGAAGCAGGCATGACAACGCTTGACCACCTGACGTTGCTCGCGCGCGACTCAGAAGATTATCTTGACCCTGGGAAGTTCTCCAAAACACGGACGATGCGATGATGTCATTGCCTCGAAACCTCCAAGATTCTCCTGCGACAACATTCGTAGTTTACCCGAAAACGCTGGGCACTAGTTTCAACGCGAAGCTCGTGATTCGCTATTTATTTCTGCCAAATAAAACAAATGAACACACAGGGTGATTAAAAAACCAAGTGGAACAGGCCATTTCGAGCGTTTCCTGCCTCTAATATTTTTCTAGCCGCGTCAGTGCAGAGTCAATTTGTGCTAGGTAAGTTCAAAGGAGGTGGGAGTGTTGGGATTGCTGCGAGACGGCTCATTTTACTGCCGCAAAGTGCTCCAGTCGACGTTCTGGCACTGCCAAGGAAGTTATCCGTGAGTTAATGGACTACGGTTCACCGATTACGCCTCAAGAGGTTGACGAGAGACGAGGTGTCGACAACCCGACTGCGTTTTGCCATCCACGGCAACCAGGACACACTTGGAACCTTTCGACCAATCGAAACGGCGGCATCTTTCGGCATGACAGCACTCTGGCGCATGTCACTCATTAGACTCGGCACACACTTGCAGAGTTGAAATGTGAAGGCCATCAGCTGCACCAATCGCATTCCAACTGACCTTGTCATTTCACATTCCCATCTATTTTGATTTTTCTGGACCTTTTTCGTGAAAATGTGCTGTATTTTATCTATCTGGTTGTAAATCGACCACGTGGTCATGCAGACACACTCGTTGCTTGCTCCGAAATGAATAGTTTGAGACGGAAGTGGGCTTATCGGGCACCCTAATTGTTGGAAAGGGTGGCTAGACTTGACTGTCGTCTAGTAGGTAAAAACCGTTCACTACTGCTGCGCCTTTGCCACCATGGCGAATCTACGTCTTCACTCAAACAAAAACACTAACATCGGGTTGACTAACCTTTAAACTGGCGCCTCGGGATAAAATAAACGGCTTTGTATAAATTTCGTGCCAATTTTTAGCACATGCTTCATTGACTTTTTGAATTTGAAGTTTAGTGGACTCCAAAATTCGGACGAAAATGTCACTGGGCCTGATTATTTCAAACAATTTGAAGATAAAAGCTATTTATTGCGTTGGGGAGCGTCCAAAGTGTGCTCATGTACACGCGTACCTGATTGGAACCAATCAGAAACGTCCATTCTGTGGGCTTTATTGCGGTTGGATAGGTTTTTGTGGAGGTAGTATTCACAAATTCACTCGGCTCTGGGTACTTGTGTTACTCACAAGCACAAACTGGCGATAGCTAGGCAATAAACTACTCCAATGCAGTGACATCATTGGGGGGAATTCCGGGGTAATTAGATTAGCGCTAGCTCGAGAATCCATCTTGGTTTCAGCGAAACCCAATCATTGTATTGTCATTAATGGGATCTCGAGGCGTTTCGCCCTGCATGGCTTGGAGTTATCACCTTGACACCACCTGCGTCCAACCGTGGTGTCTTAGAGACGCAGAATCGGCGTCGTTGAAGTGAATGATCGTCTAGCTTTGCCAACACTTCCACACCTTCGTCGTCTGAATGCAGGTTGTGTAGCAAGTGGTTGCGCAAAATCCCAACCACCTGGCATTACTCGACTTTACAGCAATGCCTATTTCAAGAACTGGTTCGAAAATGACTTAGGTATAAGGCCAATTTTTTAGTGAAATTTCGTTGTGGATAGGCGACTACATAATTAGCCTACGAGTCGGCCGTTGACTTATTTTGATTTTATTTCAAACACCTCAGCTCTGAATCAACTCTGAAAGCATGCCTACGGAGGGCTATTTTAACCCTCTCTTCACACATTTGACTGGCAAAGCGTTAGTCACTTGTAGCTGATGCCAAAGTAATCTAGTAGAAATCGCATTCTGTGACGCAGAAATCTCCCACAATCTTGTGAGAAACGAGGTTTAATCCTTTGCTCAAGGACACCGGATGTTCATCAAACCGATTCGTACTTTCTCACCAAATCCTGGCAATCGGCAGATGTAGGAACCGTCAGCCCATTCACTCCCTGTGCATGTATCTCCCCCCGCCTCCCCTATTCATTTCACTCATCTGGCCAAACGGTAGTTTGTACTTTTAAGAGGTCAACTAGACAAACTAGGTCGGCAACTTTATAAGTCAGCATCTAGTAAACGGTTCTCTCTCTTGCCGTTATTGATTAAAACCTAGCTTGATTATTCAAATCAACCAATCACGAATCTGCCACTTATTTAATGAACCCGCGTTGGTATTTTTCAAGGACAAATGTGAGATCCTTGGACATGTAGTGTCATGCGTTTCACTGATATTACGATGACGAAAAACGATGCCGGTTATGAAGGCAGTACTCACTAAAAATACTTAGTAGGATATGTCAAAGGCCCTGGAAGCTTATCCCAATCAACATATATTACGACAATAAGTAGAGCAAGCAGTAAAGGTGTACAGCACTCCAGTAGGACTTTGAAAAGCGTTCCCACTAAACCACCCCAGTAAAACAGCGGCCTTTGCGAAAATACGATGATAGATTTTGCAGGTTTTTCTAGGGATTGTTTGAGCTAAATTGTCATGACAACCAACTCGACTCGTGCCTAGCTCGAATTAGTGAGCGACTACCTCATTTTGTACACCACAACCGGCTCTTTTATAGACCTGGTTTGTCAAAAAAAATTTGTAAAATGTAACACAACAAGCGCACAACGAGTTACTGCTCACGCATGGTAATAGTATATTTAAATAAGCCAAAAATATAACACGCTAAAGGTCCTACGTGTGTGAGGAAAAAGACAAAGTGTCAAGGCTAGGGCGGGTGTGTGTGCATAGGCGTGAAACTTGGGGACGTTTCGACTTGAATGCCTCCATCCTCGGCTTCATCAGAGATTCTCCGCTCTGAACACGAAGCTTGGAGTGTCTTTGGTTACGGTAACCCCTGCCACGGGACGACACCTCGCCCTGGAGCCGCGGTCTCCGGAGCAACGCGAAATCACGAAGGTGCGGCCACCGTGGAGCACTTCACCTGACGACGCTTCGTCAGAGCTGCTCGACGACGAGCTGCTGAGGTTGACGATGTTGTGATTGCGGACGGGTACTCGACGGAACTTCACTGGACTCGATCGCTCCTCCAGTGTCACTCGCGATCGTAGCTCCGTGAAGGAGTCCAGACTGGACCTGCTGGAGCTGTAGCTGCTCCTGCCGCTACTGCTGCTGCTGCTGTAACTTGATTCAGTTAGTGTAGAATAGCTCTGTGTTGACGAGGCGCTTGAGCTACTCACGGAACGACGACGGTGAGTGCGCACTGTCGGTTTAATTATGGTGAATTTCTGGTCAGGGCATCGGCTGGCTGGTCTCGCAGAAGATCCGCGATACCTCGACGTGGTGGAGGGCGACTTACGGATGCGAGAAGTAGCCACCACGTAGCTCGTTTCAATGGGCGTGTTAATTGTTATAATCGGACTCAAACTTCGATCAGGTGGTCGCGATTTCGGCCGAAGACAATCAGTGCTGATGAAGGCTACCACCGCGCGACTTCTGCGACCGCTTCCAGTGGAAGATGCTCGATTCGAGGATGACGAGGACGATGACGACGTCAGTGAGTGGTGTCTAGACTTCTTCTTCGATTTCTTCTGTTTCGGCTTCTCCTGCTGTTGATGCTGCGACTCCAGCCCGGGGTCGCGTGAAGTTGTGCTGTGTGGAGGAGGCTCCGAGTAGTTTGGAGACGATCTAGCCAAGTCTGGAGTTGACGACCTACCTTCCATGCTTCTTGTGAAGTTCTTGTAAGCCTCCTCACTGCTGAACCTCATCGTGTAAATAGCCACTGGGGTTTTCTCGTTGGGACCAGGGTACGCCAGAGAGACAACCCGATCTGTTGAAGAGCCCCGCTTCAAGCGCTTGATTTTGCTGTACTCAATAGTCGACACAGGGGGTGGCTTCTTGCCGAGCGATCTGATCGTCATATGCCCACCCGCCGACTTGGCCACAAACGCCTGCTTCCCCGTCTTTGCTCGTCGCGCCTTAGAGACGTCCTTGACCATTTTCTTGTCATAACCTGTGGTTTTTTTGAATTTCTGAAATTTTAGATAATCTAAATCACCCATGAAGTCGACCAATTCAGACATATTGGAGGTGCTCTGCTGGCGAGGCGGTGTGTGAGTGGCGTTCGTTGTTAAATGCAAAGTGGAATCCATGGAGCTGTTGAGTCACCCCCGGTTGAACCAATAGCTAACCAGATCCTGGCACTAATTATCTCGATAATTTGCTGTTTGCCAATCGCCTTAATTGGGGCGATGAAGAGGACTAATTGTTCCCACACACACACACACACATCTCAAATGGATTTGCGAAACTGCAAACTGGGAACCTGTCATTCTCATTACCCAGAGGTACATTAAAGTCGATACGTCAATGAGTGTTTTAATTACTGCTGAAATTAGAGTGCGTTTCAAGGATTGGGTTGTTTGACTGCTTGATTAACACTGAAAATTTGACTCACGACAGATATGTAAAACATGATCACGAGTTTTGGCGCTAGTTTAATTTGCGCGCGTTCACAAGACGTTAAATTCGAACAATCGGGCACTCATTAATCCTAAGTGCTGATCTTAAAAAAATTGCCTTAATTGAAAATTCGTTCATTCTTTTTTAAATCTTCCCCAAGTTTGCATGAAAATCTGATTGCTTAATTCAAGTTATCTAGAAACAGGACTATTGCATTCAATTATCGTGATGTGACGTCACTTAGTCGATCGGGCAATTACACTCGATGTAAGAAACAGGTGTATGCGAGTTTTATGCTACTTCTGTTAGCTAGCATTATCAACATGCTACTAGTAAACTCGACTTAGTAGTATATATCTTCTCAATGCTTCTTTGAGGCGATCTGGAGTTCGACGGTTTCAACACTACAGCACCAAGTGAGATTTCGACCTGTTGGAACTGTGAAAAATTAAACGACCGTGTTTAAACTGCAGATAACATTAATCAAGACCTAAGGATTTTGGCGAACCAAACCATGAATAGCAAAACATGCTTTGCAGAACGGAATGTTGATTGGTCAGTCTGAGAATATGGACTGAAAGCGGATTGGTTAATACTAATGTGGCGCGTTTCAAATTAGACGAATTCAAGCGTATTAGAATTGACGACATCCTATGCATATCGATTTCTTGTGATGCTTTACCGACCAGATTCTTTGAGCATGTTTGCCCAAACAACGACTTTTCCCAATCCGTTGAAGTCAGCATCGTTGAACTTGACCTCTGGGGTTCGACGACTACTTCTCTGCTATCAATTTAAGATCAAATCTCGACATTAGGCTCAATTCTTGTTCATTCTTGTTTGAATCTTGTGCTAGTTTTAATAGCTATGTGATCGTTTGATTCCAAAGTAGGGCAAATCTAATTAGGCAACAAAATGCTTTTTATAAAAATATTGTTCGAAATGTCTGTACTCCCGTTCGTTCGTTTAATAATACTTAACTGACGACACCGAGTTACCGATATTTATGGGGTAAGTTGGTCAGAAAAGTGCCTTTTGTGATTGGTTGAAATTCGAATCATGGAAAATGTCTTCAGACGCTCAGTAACCTTTTCTTCAAATTGTTAATCACTAATCAATACAGGTGATTAGGTCAAACTCCCTCC